CAGCAGCCTTCACTCCCGAGGAGTGGGAAGAGTCAAAGGGCTGAGCGTGGTGCAGCTCAAACCGCTGCTGCCTCGCATGAGCTGAGCCCAGTAGAGGCAGCGCCGCTCCATAGGAGCCGGATGAGCTCATTCACAGGGTTTACAATGTGATTGCTCGCTTCATTAAAACCAGAGTTGTGTGTCTAAAAGTTCCTGCCAGCACAGACTCAGCATCAGGCAGCGTGCCTGGCACAAATCAAAGGGGTGGACACCAAGAGGCCCTTTAGAAATGGAGTCCCTACCTTCGTTTCCTTGCGCTTCAAGGGAGACGCTCACCTGGATCCCGTGTTGTTGCCAGGCAGGGCTGCTTGAAAGCTCATCTGGTGGCTGTTGCTAACATCCTCCACACTGTTTGTGAATGAGGCACAGCAGCCAAAACCAACAGGCCAGTTTGCTGCTGGGTTAGAAGTTCCAGGATTCAAAGTGTCTGTATTTCAAACAAAAGCAAACGTGCTGTGCAGGAGGGGGCAGAGACCGGAGAGGTACAAACAGAGCGTGTTACCACTGCGAGCACAGAGATGCTCTTGCACTGCAGGAACAGGGAGAACAGCAGTCTCCAAACCCACATTTGCAGCCTTTGAAGATGCCTTTCATTTACTGGATATGTAATTTCCTGACACAGCAGCAGGGACTGTCCCTGTGTTATGGGAATTCCAAGGCCGAACCTTGCTTATCTGCCCCACAATCTGGACCTGCAAATGTTTAGCAATGCCCATCAGTTGGGCAATAGGTTCCTCTCGCTGCACTAGCTGCAAGGGTTTTTGCTGCAGAAACACACCACTGGGCAGGAGAACGGCACAGTCCTACCTTAGGGCCTTCCCCCATCATCTTCCTCCTTCCCCTGTTGTCTCATCAGGCTGCAAGGACCTGCAGCATGGGCAGACACTGAAGGAGCTGATGCAGACACCGAATTTCCGGGTGACAGTGGTGCAGGAAGCTGACACGGTGGAGATCTGTGGGGCTCTCAAGGTGGGTGAGCTGCTCACTGGGCTTTGCAGGTCTTGGTTAGCAGAGCCTGGGATTCCCTATGGCCCTGCAGGCAGATCTGGGGAGGAGGCTGACAGCAGAATGAACCCCTCTGGGTACTGCACTGTGGCTCACTGAGACCTTTGGGTCAAAGGCCCTTTGGATGTGTCCTGCTCAGCTGCTTGGAGCGATGATGATCACTGGATCATCAGGAGCAGGCAGGAGCCTGTGCTTGGGATCACACTGGCAGCTCATGGACACAGCAAAGCCCCGAGTTCCACTGGGAACAGACCCTTCCACGATGCTGCTGTTTTCCAGAACGTTGTGGCTGTAGGAGCGGGTTTCTGTGATGGGCTCGGCTATGGAGACAACACGAAGGCTGCCGTGATCCGTCTGGGGCTGATGGAGATGATCGGCTTTGCCAAACTCTTCTGCAAGGGCCCTGTCACCTCCTCCACGTTCCTGCAGAGCTGTGGGGTTGCTGATCTCATCACTACCTGCTACGGTGGCCGCAACCGAAAGGTGGCCGAGGCTTTTGCCAAGACTGGGAAGGTAAGAGGAGCAACCCTGGTACCTGCATCCCCATGCTGAGGGAAACCCAGGCAGCGCCATGGAACATGCTGCCTTCACTCGCCCAGTGCCAGAGCCTGGCTCCAGGGAAGGGATGTGGGGTGGCAGATGGGTTTGCAGGGTCCGGTTCCCTCACTTGTTGGGTTGTTCCAGTCTCTTGAGCAGCTGGAGAAGGAGATGTTGAATGGGCAGAAGCTGCAGGGTCCCCAGACGTCTGCTGAGCTCCATCGCATCCTGAAAAGCAAGAATGCGGTAGAGAAGTGAGTGCTGCCATCTCCCTTGCCTGCTCTTTTGGGGGGGGGGGGGGGGGGGGGCAGAAGGGGAACCCCACCCTCAGGGTCCCTCCTCTTCAGGTCAACCTCTGCGTTGCCCACATCAAACCAGCTGGCCAGGAACGGCCTGTTGGATGAGGCAGCAGGACACTGCCCTATCTGCTCCTGCCCAGTGGTCCTGCACGTCACTGCAGGAGGTGCTCTGACCCTGCCAGCTGTGGTGATAGGGCAAGGGGTGACTTTGTTCATCTGCCCACAGGTTCCCCCTCTTCACAGCTGTGTATCAGATCTGCTACGAGGGCAAACCTGTTACTGATGTCATCAAGTGCCTCCAGAACCACCCTGAGCACAAGTAAGGGGGCTCTGCCTGCAAGACCTGAGCCTGCCAAGATGAGCAGAGAGCTACAGCTTTGTAAGGAGTCCAGGTCTCCTGGGAGCCTTTGCAGGGTGCTGGAAGGGCAGAGGGTCCCTTTCTCAGCCTTGGACGCTGCCAGCCTGAGCCTGGCATCTGCACAGAGGTACCTGTTGATCTCCCTTTCTCTTCAAAGGGCTCATTTAGCTTCTGCTGCTGTCTAGGCTCTGCCCTGAGCAGGGCTGAGCATCTTCCTCCTTCTACTTCCTCCTGCTGTGATGAACTCAGTTCTCAGAGGGACTCTGCCAGCTCACCTTAAGGAGGCACTGCCTGGAGGACAAGCTTTGCTATTAGCCCCATGGAGCCACTCTGCACGACACCAACCCTCTCCTGCTCACCACTCTTGCTTTTGGCTTAACTATCTCATGCAGAGGACACAGTTCCCCACCAGGCTCCACTAGGCTGAATGAGGCTCCCCAGGACCTGTGAGGGGCTGAGAATCACTCTTCTTTCTAAGCAGCCCAGCACAGAGCCCAACATCCTTTGCCACGTTGCCATGTGCTGCTGCCCCAGCCACCCCCAGCTGCCCTGGCCAATGCTTTGTGCGTGAGGGCACTTGTTTATTTAGGCTTTTGGCTCTTGTACTCAAACCTCCCCTGTTGTCACAGCTTTGCCCATGCTGATTCCATGCCCATCCCTGGACAGCCTTTCTCCCTCACTTGTTTGTTCTCTTGGCTTTGGCAATGCAGGGACCAACTGCCCCAAAGTCTTTGTGAGCAGCTGTAACAAGTGCAACCCTTGGCTGTGGACCTGACAGAGCAGTTGGGTCATGTTGCTTTTAGATGGATGAGCCACAGCAGCTTTTTGCCTTCTCTCTGCCTTGCTCCACTCTGTGCCTTAGCCCAGTCTTTGCTTCTATATGTGGCTTTCTAGGAGCTGAGAAAGCAGGTTCCATGCTTCCTTTCCCTGCTGCCCCTCTTGCGAGGGTGCTGGAAAGTGCCCTGGCACAAGGGGCAGCAAAGGATACGTGACCCACAAAGAGGCACAAGGAGACCTCCGACACCACAGGCGAGGACAGAGGTCTCATGCCTCATGCTGTGCCTTTGACGCTTGCCCCGTGTCCAGCCGGGTGCCGCGTGCTTCCCGGCCCTCTGAAGCTGCTCCTGTTTGCTCAGGCCAGCGTGGCCAGTTCAGTGATCCCTGTGGGGACTGGCAGGCTGGAGCTGCCCCAGGGCTCGCTGTCCACCCCTGTTCCAGGTCCTCGAGCTGCTGGCTCCCTGCCTAGCCCTGTACCTTAGGAATGTTTAAAGCGATAATAAACGTGGAGAGGAGATGGGAGACATGCTCTTTGCTCTGTGGCATCCTTGCCTTTGGGTTGGTGCCTGCTGGACTTGCTGAGAGTGCAGAGAAGGGCACTGTTCGTTCCCTCCTGGCTCTGCACCCTTGTGTGCTGTTCCAGAAACAGCAAGAACGCCTCTGCAGGTCCTCGCTCAGTCACAGCACAGCGCAGTGTCCCACTTGCCTTCTCTCAGCAGTGTTGCCTGGAGGAGTGAAGAGGGTTGAGGTTGCAAGGGTGGAACTGGGTAGAGTCCAAACTCTTCTACCTGGGGCCTGCAGGAGCTGGGCCAGGACCCTGCTGTGCCCCATGTACCCCGGGCCACCCCTCCTCTGATGTCCTGGCTTCTTGGAACACGCCGTGTTGCTTTCTTCATCTCTTCCCGAGTGCTTTTCCCAGCCTTGCCCTGTTCCTGCCTTTCTTTGAAATGCATCTCACACTGAGTGACCTTTCCAGGGCCGTTCGCCCTCTGCTCAGCCTCTTGCGAGGGGAATTTAATCTGCTGGCATTGCATCGTTTCTGTGTCTTTTATTAGACACGCTTCCTCGCCGGGTCCCCTCCGACCTTTAACGAGGACCGAGCTATCCTGCAGCAAGCAGCCAGCATCAGCTTCCTCTCACAAGGAACTGTTGAGGTTGGAAGGAGGATAAAGGAAGTCCAGCGTGGTCCCGCAGGGCTGGCACAACTCCTGCTTCCCTTCGCCCTCACGGCCTTCAGGCATCCCGGTTCAAGCGTTTGGATGTGAGGCTCAGCCAGGAGGCAGACGCCCGGAGCTCTCCCCCTTCAGGGCACTGCAGTCTCTCACCTGGGCTGGCTCAACTCTTGCCAGCCCCTGCCTGGAGCTGCAGCAGGGCTGGGACTGGGGCTGGGAGCTGCATTCACCTGACGGCTCCTCTGCAGTGGAAGCGCTTTGTGCATCCCTCCTCCTGCGGGCTCCTTGGCACTGGGGCCAGAGTCCCTGCTGCAGCCCCTCGCTGTGCCTGCTGAAGGGCCCAAGGCCGCTGCTCCAGGCCCTTGCTGCTCGCCACCCCCTGCCTTGCCCTGGTGCTGGAGTCCAGCAGCTATAAAAAGCCTTCCCTTTGCCATTTGGGGTTATGTTCTGCAGGCTCAGCACATCCAGGCCCTGCGGCCGGGGCAGAGGATGAGGGAGCCGGGGAGGGGGGGGGGGGAGGCTTGGCTCCTGCAGCCTCAGCGCTCGACAAGAGCCCCTGGAGCAGCGCAGCGCGGACACAGCCGCGTTCACGGCGCTCGGGGAGGGTGGCTCCTGCAGAAGGGCCGGCACAAGGAGAAACGGCCGCGGGGATGAGGGGGCTGCAGCGGCCGCCATGACCCGAGGTGGGCGCCGAGCCGCTGAGGTGAAGCAACCCGGCCTCCGCCCGCCAGGGGGCGCTGCAGCGGACTACACATCCCAGCGGGCAGCGCGGCGGCGGCGGCCCCGGCCCCCCCCCCCCCTCCCCACGTGACAGGCGGAAGGCGGAAGCGCCGCGCAGCCAGGCCGCGCCGGTGGAAGCGGAGCCCAGAGGCGGAGGTAGGACCGTGGGGAGCGGGTAACGGGCGCGCTCCCGGCGGCGCTGACCCTCACGTTGCGTTGCAGGAGCGGCCATGGTGTCCGGCAAGCAGCTGGCGGATTTCGGCTACAAGGCGTTCTCCGGCTCCATGATGCTGCTGACGGTGTACGCCGGGTACCTGTGCAGCGTCCGCGCCTACCGCCTGCTCGAGCGCCGCCGGGAGCGGCAGGCCGCGGCCGGCCCCGAGAGCTGAGGGCGCCGGGGGAGAGGGGGGGTGGAAGAAAGGAACCCACCCCCCCCACACGCACACCCCCCCCCCCCGGCCGAGGGCCTGCCCGGCTGGCAGAGGGAGTGGAGCACGATAAAAACCATTATAAATATGTATAATAAAATATAATGAAAACGAACAAGGGTGGGGCCGTGCTCTGTGTGCCCAAAATGGCATGGTGACACCCCAAAATGGTGCTGTGACACCCCAAAATGGTGCTGTGTGTGCCCAAAATGGCATGGTGACACCCCAGAAGAGTGCTATGTGCCCAAAATGGCATGGTGACACCCCAAAATGGTGCTGTGACACCCCAAAATGGTGCTGTGTGTGCCCAAAATGGCATGGTGACACCCCAGAAGAGTGCTATGTGCCCAAAATGGCATGGTGACACCCCAAAATGGTGCTGTGACACCCCAAAATGGTGGTGTGTGCCCAAAATGGTGGTGTGACACCCCAAAATGGTGCTGTGTGTGCCCAAAATGGCATGGTGACACCCCAAAGCAGTACTGTGTGCCCAAAACGGTGTTGTGACACCCCAGAACAGTGCTATGTGTGCCCAAAATGGCACGATGACACCCCAAAATGCTGCTGTGTGTGCCCAAAATGGCATGGTGACATCCCAGAATAGTGTGCCCAAAATGGTGTGGCAACACCCCAGAACAGTGCTATGTGCCCAATATGGCATGGTGACACCCCAAAATGGTGCTGTGTGTGCCCAAAACAGTGTGGTGACACCCCAAACTAGTGCCGTGTGTGCCCAAAATGGCATGGTTACACCCCAAAACAGTGTTACGTGTCCAAAACAGCACAGTAACACCCCAAACTGGTGCTCTGTGTGCCCAAAGTGGGATGGTGACACCCTAAAACCAGGTACCTGTGAGTCTTAAAACGCTGCCTCCCAGCCTCAGGCAGTAGGGCAGCTGCTCAGCATCCCAGCAAAAGGCCAGACCCCATCCTTGATTGTAGGTCTCACACTGAACCACATCAGTGACATTTCTGAAGCATCTTTTAATTGGAGATAAGAGTAAACAATGGTATAAAATGGTAACAACTCAAGAAGTTTCCAAACTTCTGCTCATGATTGACACAGGTCCTCCATTGCCCCCAAGTACCATTAAGTAAAAAATAAAGAGACCAAAAAAGCAAAGCCTGTGGTGGGGCTGCCTCTCCAGCCCAGGGATTCCTCCATAACAGTTGCAAAACCAGAGCAGCAACATTGCCTCCTGTCTCAAGAGTACAGTCAAGCAGGTCCAAACCATCTTATTTTGGGGAAATACAGCCCACCAGTACTGGTCCAGCCTCAAGTCCCAGCTCAGCCAACCGTGTCCAGCAGGTCTAGGGAAGTCTTCAAAACCACCAGTTGCAACAGAAAAGACATGAATTTAAAAGGCATGTGTTGTGATAGTTGTCTCAGAGGCAATGAACAACCCCCCTCCCCATCTCAGAAGGCTGTAGTCAAGACTTCACAGAGGGGCTTGCAGCACCGAAGTAGGCAGCAAATGCTGGCCTGGTCCCTCACGACAGCAGGGAGCTAAGTGACAACCTTCACATAGAGCACCCTGATGGCAAGTTAGAACGTTTCTGGTGTAGCCTGGTCCAGTTCAAAGCTGGGCTGGAGTACAGAGTGCTCACAGCAGGGCTGAGAATGAATGTACCCAAGCCACAGCCGGGGTAGCTTGGACATGGAACCACAGGACCCCACGTTCTCCATGCTCTGAAGCGGCTTCTGGAGTGCATCGGGGAGATAATGCAGAGCCTGTGCTGGAGCAAACCATCACTGGAATGGCAGCAGACCCCTCCTGTGGTCAGCAGCCAGCTGAGTCCAAACTCCTTCCACCTTGAGTTGATCCTAGTAAAAACCAGTTTGTCACAAAGACACCTCTGCAGATATCGATGGGTCTAAGATTTAAGTACAAAATGGCTTGAAGTGAAATCTGCAGCTTCGTTTTTGCCCTAAGTCATTGGCTTTATCCCTTTGGCTGTGCAAAGCCTCTGACTGGTCTGGATTGTGCCCATTTCAGATTTGCTGGAGGTTTCTGGGGAAGGGGTATCTTGATTAAAGATCACTTGGGAATGTGGAGCTCAACACACCTAGATATTTAAAGACAAGTTCATGTTTGCTCTAGGCCAAGCCACAGCCTTACTCATCTTCTGTCCACTGCCCACCAGCCACATGACCATTAATGCAGTTGGAGCCATTACTTGAAGTGCTGAAAACTCCTTTTGTGCTGTTGGAAGTCACCTCCTCCTCTTCAGAGCTGCTCTCCACATCACTGCGGTCATCTTTGGATACCTGAGCATTTCAAAAGGAAATGGGGCAGTGGCATGGGGGGAAAAGGAGGATGAAAAATTCACAGGAAACAGTAATTAGAAGGTTGCATCCATGTGATGAACCAGCTTCAGTTACACTGAACATTTGATCCTGAATCCCTTCAAGCTCCCAAGAGGGAATCGCATACAGAATGCAAGACACACACACAGAAAGGGACAATTTGGAAACGGGAGTCCCATGCTCCAAATACTCTACATCTCTGGAAGCACTTTCCAGATCAGAGGCCACTATTTGGCTGTTCTTGTTCATTCTAGATGGGCTAAAGGCCACTTTTCCAACCAACACACTTGTTCTGAATCACTCAACTTCTTGCAGCATAATGAGTTCTGTGATGCTCAAAGCCCATGGATCTATACAGCAGTTGGAGAGAGAACATTCTGTCCTAGAGGGAGTGCCTTGGAGACTTTAAAAATTAACCAGCTGTATTTATCACATCACTGTTTGCACAAAGTGCCTCCCATTCTCACAGCTTGTGGTTCACATAGGAGAACTCATTTACAAGCAGAAGCTTATTCTGTAGCCCAGTGTCCAAACAAAGACAACTATCCCTTCCACCAAACACCCGCTCAGGAGCAAAAGGAGCATCTCAGCCCTGAGATCTAGACCTGCTTTGCAGAGTTATGCCTTCAGTTAAAGGACTGCCCTCAAACCCAGCTGAATTTCTTTTGCATGTGGGGTTTTGAACCTTGTGAAGCAGACCCAGGCACGCTCTGGTGCCAGCCGCTGCGGATGCCGCAGGAGGGCACTGTACCAGCACAGAGCCACCACACCAGAAGGTGAAGGAAGAGATCATAAACCCGGCCCCAACTGCAAACAAGCACTTCGGTTGGTGGCAGGGAGCCAGAGCCATAAACTCACCAGCGCTCAGCAGTGAGTGGTGAGCAGCCTGTGCTTTGCATACCCCAAGGCAGGTTCTTCACGCTTTTGCAGCTAATAGCCCTCATTTACTTAATAGGTGAAGCACTTAGTCCTTTCCAAGGGTTTCACCCTACTCTGCCCTAAGTCAGGGCTAGGGCTTTTGAACAGCAGCAGGCAGGAAGTTTTTGAACTCAAAGGAAGATCTGGAGGAAAGCCAGGTAAAGTCAATGATCTCCAGGATTGGTTCTGACAGCCCTGTTGGATGTCCTGGCTTCTGTCTCTAGCCAGAACTTCTGCTATCTTGCCCCGTTCTCCTGCTAGGCTGGAAGCTCAAAGAGTCACTGGAAGGAAGCTGAAATCCCTGGAAACTTTCCCCATTATTTGGGGGACAAGTGACTGCTTTGCTCCTTTTAGCAAACAGCACTGCGTTGCTCCTGTGCTCTTCCACTCAGCACAGTGTTCATGAGACAGGTATCAGAGTCGCTGTGTGCGTAGAAAAGCAGAAAGGTGAAGGTCATGCAACCTGCTGAAGGCAGATAAGAACAAACCCCAGGACACTGCTCTGACCTTTGGAAAAAGCTGCATTTTAGCCTAACTATGAGAACCAGCACTCTGTCAGCCAGGGAGAGAAGCATTTTAAGAGAAGGTACCAGCCATTTAAAGCCCCAAGACCACGTCTTTGCTTTTGTCTTAGCCCGGAAACAGCCACAGGCGCGTTTCAGCAAACAACCAGAAGCACAGATCACACTTACATGCAAAGGATGAAACTGTCCAGCTCCAATCTGGCACAGAGAAAAGGAAGAAAGAATGAAGAAGACAGAGCTTAGAGTCCTTTCACTGGCTAGATCACCTGGACAGGAGAGAACCAAGGAAGGGAAAAAGATGTAGACCTCAGGCTACAGAAACAGGCAGAAAATAAGACATTTGCAGTAGCAGCTATGGGGAGCAGATATAAAGATTATGTATATACTGCCTCAGATTACATACATACTGCCTCAGACAACTACCATGTATTTTTCAAGCTTACATTCCATGTGTAGGGGCAGCTAAGAAGTGAAACCAAGCAGAGTCATCAGAGAAACTCAGATCAAAATACCAAGGATCTGATTAAAATAAAAGCAAAGGCATTTGTGCTAGGAGATTGGCTGTTGCTCTCTGGCACCTGCAAAGGAAGTGGCTTCTCGTGATGTTTAGGCTGGGTGTGAAATTAGTTTCCAGCCTGGCTTGCTCCGTTTCATGCTACTTCTGCTGAAGTCACCTTTTTGCTTGTCAACTGAGGTTGCTGCTGGAAGTCAGCACGGTTCACTCCTGGGGCAGTGTGTGTTGTGAACCAGCTGCTGTTGTTTCACCTTCCCTCTCCCTAAAACTCCCAAACCAACTTAGAATTGGAATACTCAGGACTGAACGCAGACTGCACCACATCAGCCCAGCGACAACCAGCAAACCACAGCATTTCTGATAACCCTTTCTCCTCTGCATGCTGTAGCTCAATGCCTGGCCTGCTGTGACAGCCAGAAGCTGCCTTAGTGCTAAGAAGTGGAAGATGCAGAACTCCCATTATATCCCAAGAACCAGCTGAAGTTGGAAAGCATCCTGTATGGTTGTTCAGAAAAAGAGCCTACTATCACCTTTAAAACATCATCATCATTACAACATCTGAACACGCTAGAAAATGGTGTTGTTTCCCTGCATGACCAGAACAGAGGAACACATCCTCTTGGTACACACCTGGCAATTCAAGTCTGCAGAGCACCCAAGGTAAAAACCTGCTGCTCTACAAAGCATTCCTGAGGCAAGCAGGTCAAGAACCAGCACCAGCCCTCACTGAAGGGCCCAGCTCCTCATGATTGCTTTAAGAGGGCTTGTAGGAAAGGGGTCCCAAGCCAGTGGCCAGCAACCTTACCTTTCCCCGCATGAGGGCCTTGTAGGCAGTGCGAATGATGAGATAAGACCAGATGATATGCAGGATCTGCAAAGTCACCAAGAGCCCATTGAAGAGCCACCACGAAGGGTATGGACCAATCAACTCCCAGCTTTCAAATAGGGTTGTATTCAAAATCCTAAAAGAGATCCAGAAATGCATTACACATGGGCTGTGCTGGGAATACAGCTCTACATAAAGATGCCTGACCAGATGCACACCAGTTTGTAGCTCATTTAAGCATCTGTTGCTTTGCCTTTGCTCCTGTCAGTGCAGTGATGCAGCTTGTCTCTTGCCAGAGTTAGGAGACAGACTAAAGCTAATTAGAAACAGTTGAACTGAGCAACAAACACGGGAGATGTGAGTGTTCTGCAATCTGGTCACACATCCAGACCCGCTGCCAATTTCCTTCTCCAAAGCATGAGCATTTATAAGAACCTTACAGGAAGTGATGTCAAGCTGCACTGGTCATCAAAACAACTGTTAACACGTTCATACCTGGGCAGTCTTCACCCATATTTAAAGATGAGGAAGGAATTTTGTTCCCAGTAGGCCTCCCTCCCTCCCTGTGTGCTGTTCTCTTCCCTCAGACGTTTATAGGTTTCTCCTGCCAAGCTGGAGAACTAGAAACTGCTTTATGGCTACAGCTTTGTGCTTGCTTTCATGACTGTTGTGCTCTTCTTGTAGCTGGGAGTTACTGCCAGTACTTAAGTCATTTAATAAACACTTTAGATTTTATGAAGTAAAGGGGTATGGAGAAACCTCTAAAGATGTCATTAATTTCACACTGCTTTTAACATCTCACAAGAAAAACAAACCTTGCAGAGAAGAACCCAAGTCCCCAAAATGCTGCTACTGAAGCTTCTAACTCATAGCCAGTGTATGGATGACTTGAATGCAATTCCAGAGAACTGTCAAAGTTTTATACTACTAATCAGAGAAGGGAATATCCTGAAGTGGAATAGCACAGGGTCTGCAGCACTGCTTCAAGCCTGCCAAGTTCCTCTGCAAAGCTGAGGGATTACATTACAGCCAGTGGAAAATACATTAAAGATTTACAGGACTGCTGAGCAATAGCATGATGCAAAAGCATCACCTCATGACAGACAACAGCTATAAAAACAATGGCAATATCTCATCTGTCAGTGGAAGGAGCATTAAAGCTCCTCCTTATCCTGACTCCTTTGGTGCACTTACTGGAAAACAAGCAAGAGCTTTTATTGCAACCCTGATCTCAAAGTGTATTGTTTCTGCCTACCATCAGGCACCAAAAAAGAATGGGAATGCAAGCTGCCCAGTGCCCAGGAAAGAAATATATGCAGTAAACCTGAAAGAAACCGGGTAGTAATCAGGTGTAACCAAATTTTCACCACACTGTTTCAACAGAATCAAGAAATGAGTAAGAGCTCAGCAACAGAACCACCTCACCAAGCCTAACCCATCGTGATGAAAGGGAATCTCATTACAGGATGATTTGCCCTAAGCCATTTAGCCAGGGTTTTACGTCCCAAGAAACCCAAGACCTATTTCAGACTCTGCACAGTCACGGCACAAGGATAGGACAGGAGTGTTGTAAGAATCAGAGCCCTGGATGGCCTGGTTTAGCGTGAGGTGTCCCTGCTCATGGTAGGGGGCTTGGAACTGGATGATTTTAAGGTCCTTTCCAACCCAAACCATTCTATGATTAGGATTCTAGTTGCTTTTCACACTCCCTCAGTTGAGAGGTTTCTTCACACTCCTAAGTTGAACATACTGCTCCAAACAGTACATGGGCTGTCTGCACCTTCAGGCTGCCTTAAGGGACAGGCAGAATGCTTGCAAGAAGCCTAAATACAAACGCTGTGCTTGAAGGATTGGAAGAACAAACAAGACCTTCCAGCTCCAGATGCTTACCAGAAAGGATAAATGCCCAACCGTGTAACAATGAATACGACACCAAAGAGCATGAAGAAAGCATCACACAGACGTTGGTACTTGGCATAATTGGCTAGCTTTGCAGCCTAAAAGACACAAGAAACAGGAGAATATGATTCTCTTTGTACAAGTCATGTAATTACCAGGCCGTAGAGCTTCAAAATCCTTCAAGCTATCCCATTTATCAGGGGTTTGGAATATTTAGGGATTATTCTCAGCACTAAAGCAGTTAGGAGGTAAAGCTGACAAGGCAGGATCAGCAGCACAAGTTTTATGCCATATTTAATGCAGCTTATCAAGAATGGCAAAGTCAGCTTGCTCCCCTGAGAGCACACTGGCATCAGGTATGCAGAGAGCCAAAAGGCAACTCACCTCTAAAAGGAAATCTGATGCATCATGGAGACACAGCACCAGAGTTCCAACCCGCACCATATTATTCATATAAGAGAATGTAATAAGTCCAATTGTGGCCAAATGATGGACAAACATGATCAGGAAGTCCTGGAAACAGAAGAAAAATGAGTTGGGCTGACAAATACAAACGTTTGGAACAGAGCCACAAAACTAACTGGGATAAGAGGATTACTTTAGGTCAGACTCACTCCACTTTATATAAAGCACAGCTCATCACACACCATCAACCATCATCTCTAAAGGCTCCAGAAAGGTCTCTCGCAGCATTTGTGCTCCTGTGAAGTCAGAACTCTGCATGCACAGGCACAAGGATAAATATGCCTGCAGACCCCACTGAAAAGAGTGACAGGACAACATACAGCCCTTATTTTTGGCTTCAGTCAATTTGATTCCAGCAATCACCACCAGTCACCATTCTGCTACACACATTTATTACTGCTTTAGTGTTTGCCATTTCCTCACCCAGCTCAGCAAGGGATGCTTCGAGCACCTCATTTTCATGCTTTTTGCCAGCCTTCTAATTAAATCTTTCTGCAATGATTTGTTAACTTTTGATTGGGAACTCCTGAGTGATTCTGTTCTTTCCCCTGGAAGGTGAAAGGGACTCTCAAGGCTATACCAGGTTGCATAGCAGCCTCGCTCCTCCTTTTTTGCCAGGCCAGGCTAGCAATTACAGAAGGAGGTAGGGTACTCAAAGATGTAAAAGAAGAAGAAAATACAGCTATTACTATGCTTTAACTTTACTTCTTTGTTAGTCCTGCCTACTTAGCAAAGAGGTTAGTGCAATTCTGCTTAATCTCACCTTCCGTTTAATGTCTGTAAACTGAGAAAACATGAGAGACCAATAGAAGGCCAGCTCCAAGATATAGTAATAATAAAGCCTGGATGTTAGAGGCTGGAAAACAAAGATAGCACAGTTAGAAGAAAAAGCACTTCAAAATGTACATTAAAATTGACTTTCTCCTTCCCATCCCACTCTGTTCCTCCAGAATGCTGAGGCATAACTTAAAAGATCCAGAATTAAGGTTTAGTGAAAACCAGCTTAAGCACACTTACTCTAGGCTTAGTCACACCAACATAGTTGTGTGTTTGAGCTTTGCTCAAATGGAGCAAGATTCCCTTGTCAATATTTACAACTCATACTCCAGCTTCCTGGATTAGGCAAACAGGGTACTGAAACAGACTTGCTGACCTCTATGCAACCATATTTGCTGCATCATGAAAACAACACTGCACATAAGTTACCCGTGTAATTTTAATGCCTTTTATTCTTCCACTTTTAATTATCTCAGCACCAGGTAAACATAAAACGAGTATGAACAGAGTCAGCTGTAGCTGAGGAAACACGGCTCTTGACAAAGCTAACCAGGATCTGAAGACATAACAAGTAAATGCCATCTCTGCACCTTTCAAAAGGGATGGCCATTCACTCACTAGAAAGCTGACTAGGTTGCGGGCTCCACCCCACAGAATAAGGAGCAGCACTCAAACCCACTGAGTTTTAATCTGCTTTCAGTGGAGTTTCAATTCAATCATTAAAGAAAAAACCCCTGTAATTGTGCACCAATTTGGGATCTACTCAGTGTTTCTCTCCTACCTGAAAAGGGTAGTTGTACCAGCACTGTCGTGTGTCCCAAAACCAGGGTGCCTAAAGGGAAAAAGATAAGTTACTACTCTATTGGGCTTTTCTGTCCTATTATCCATGGCAGTTGACCACTGCAGTATTGTTTCACTGAATTTTAATCTTGATTTTACCATTCAGGCTTAGATTTATTCTACAACACCCTAGGGATGTAAAACATTCTTTCTGCAGTCAAAGGCAAGTTAAACTGCAGTGGAAATTCAATGAATAATCATACAGCTCTAATAACAATAAAGACCCAAAATGATGAAACTGTTTCCCTTCAGGAGGCAGATGAGGAAATACAAAAGCAGCTCTCCATAGCAAAAATACCTACCCAGTTCTATCCCATACTGGGGTAGCAGGACATTTTGTCTAATGACAGAGCTGTACAGAAGCTTTCCTGTAAAGAAGGTCCTTAAACAGAAACCCCAGATCTCAAATGAGGGACAGAAGGATGACAACCACCACTAACTCCCCCTTGTTTAAAGCTGGGTGCAAGCACAGAAGTGACCCAGGTAGTGAAACCCCTCAATTTCAGCAGGGCAAGCATAGCCCAGCTGCATGTCACACAGGACAACAACAGGGGGGTGAGAGAGCAACTCACCGTCCAGAGAAATCTGATTCCATAAAAAAATATACATAAATAAAATGTAAATCTCCACCTGGAAAAAGAAGCAAAAATGACATTTACGAAATGGAAATAGCTTCTCATTAACATTCAGAACAAAAACTGGAACAATTGTGAAAAACACCCCCAATTCTGACATCTGAAAAGCTTTTACCCACCAAAGTAATGCTTCATTTGTCAACACTTCATGTAAGGATAAACCTATTTCAGAGCTTTCACAACGCATGAGTTTGCATCAACAGCCAAGCTTGAAATAAAGCTTGTGAACATGCATCATTCGTATCTTTAATATGCAATAATGAGATAACAACAAGGTAAGTCATTGTTATCCAGAAGGTATCCTAATACATGTATTTGTCCCTCTTACCTTGTGGCTTTAAGTAGACAAAACCATACTGGGGGAAGAATTAATATGAAGAAAGTTACTGGAAAGGAAAGAAACCAGCACAGAAGAAATAAGTCAGGAAAAAAATATTCAGATGCTACTACACTAACAGAGGTCACGGCAAGCATTCAGAAAGAAACACAGACCAAAAGAATGAACTGAAATGAAAAGAACAGGAATCCAAGAAGTGTCTCTATAAAAGTATATACATCCTTGTGGAAGCCACAAGGTCATTCTGTCTGGGAGCAAACGCTGGTCTACAACATAACTGTGCAGAGAGCAGATCTATTTTCAGTGTAATTCCTCAAGCTGTGCATGCATGCACACGTGTGCACTACAGGGTATTAAGGAGCTCATCATAGAATGACACAATGGTTTGGGGTGGAAAGGACCTTAAGTTCAGCCAGTTCCAACCCCCCTGCATGGGCAGGAACACCTTCCACTAGATCAGGCTGCTCCAAGCCCCGTCCAACCTGGCCTTGAACACTGCCAGGGATGGAGCATTCACCACTTCTTTGGGCAACCTGTTCCCACTATCTAAAGCTGCTCGTCATTGACAGGAGTAACTCCTGTACGTGTGTTCTGGTCCCTCATGCACATACATAAAGCATTTGAGAATACTGAATTCTAAAAAGCCCTCCTAACTTCTTTCATTTGCTTATACAAGAATTTCTCTTCCAGCAGCCAACCCCAGTTTAAATGAGCGGCTGACCACAGTTCCAGTGAGAAAAGAGAACAGAGCTGGAGCTTTAGGATGAAGCCACATCTTGGCCTCTGCACAAACATACATGCTCTCACAAAATTTAGTGAGGGTGGTGGGCTTGTCCTGGTTCCTCCGGTGACGAAACCAGCGCTGGATCTTCCGAACATCCCAGTCCAGCTGCTTTGACAGGCCTTCTAACCTCCTTCCATCTGGAGACTGAAGGAAAACGGAACAAGTGTCATTTCTCCTACTTCTTAATCTCCTCTCAGCCCAAGATCTCCTCTGTGCTATGACAGAAATGAAACACATAGAACACACGCAGTAGGAAGGCGCTAGTATGGACTAGAAGTATGCCACCAGTTGCCACATATGTTCATTCAAGTTTAACCTCCATAAGCCACTAATTACTTAATTATTCAGAATGCTTTTGGTTTAATATTTCATCACCTGACAGCACATCACAACAAAGAATGCAATTGTTCTGCTTCTTAATTTGGGGGGAGGAGCTTTTAAAATGTCCTGTCCTACCTGTTAAAACCTGCCCATCAATTCAAACAGTTCAGAACGCAGGACTGCATTTAAGGGTTGCTACTCACTGCAAGTTTAGGGATGCTGTAAAGGAAGAGCTGGTCTAGCACACTAGTTTTTTCTATATTCCAAAGGGGCATCATAGAGATGATGTTATTTCCACTATCAAAGTTTATGATTAAAATTAAATCTGAATACTGAAATACCTGTACAATAAAAAAAATGTATCACTGTTCTCTGGCTGGAAGCTACTGGCAGTATAGTGGTTTCAATAATGACATAAATGGATTTATAAGAGATAAAGTGAAGAAAACCTGATAACTACCTCTAAAACGGGCCAGTGGTGAGATAAGCCATGTTAGTGCCAGACCAGTGTCCTTTTAACAAGCTCTGCCAGGGAGCTCTTACAACTGAAAGATGATAAACACCTTTTACTACTTGAGTTACACACAAATCCAAGAAGTATGCAGAATGCTGATTCAACAGTCACCAGACTGTTCAACTGGAAAGCAAAATCATTGGATTTTCAGTACTGAGACCATGACTTTCCTGTAATTCCATCACAACCAGATCTCTCTGCACTTTACTTGGTTTTAACAGTCTGGGCTACACTTCCACAATGCCACTGAACCTCCCTCAAAGGAGAATTTACAGAGTTCCAGTTTCAGAACAGCAATGGAAACCTTCCCCTGCATCAATGCTACCCTACATTCTGGTTGTGCATGCTGGTACAGTTAAACACAGCTCTGTTTTCATTAAGCCAGATAAATTCTGCAGTGTGTGTCCTCGTGGGTTCTCTAAACATTAATTTCAAGGACAGAAAAAGTCCTCCCCACAAAAGGCATCAGATCATAGGGACTTTTCAGTTCACACATCAACCGAAACACCTCAAAGCCTCAATGAGGTGAGTTTTAGAAAGGTCTCTGTAGAATTTCCCTTCAATTCCCTTTATCTGCTCCACTCAGGATGAAGTTCAGCATCCCCAGATCAGAACATAAACCCTTCCATTTCGCTATCTTTAATGAAAATCTCTTATGCTGCCTGCGTGGATTTTGCTGTCAGCATTTAACAGACAGTGTGGAACTGTGGAATTCTGAAGTGAAGGAGCACTGTCAGCTTAAGCAAAAGGCCATGAAACGATCAAAAGAAACACCTACTGTCTACATTAAATGTCCTACCCTTTATCATAGCACACTCCCATTGACTGAATACTTTCCATAACTGCCTTCCACTGTGACAGCTATTGTCCAATTCCACAGTAGATGGCAAAAAAATAAGAGGAAAGCATTCACAAAAGTGGCCAATAAAACCAGCAAATGAGCAGATCTCAAGGCAGAGAGTTGCACTTTTCAAACAGAAAGTGAAAGATATTGGGTAATTTTTTGTGAAACTGAGAATTACCACTTGTTACAGAAATTACTATTTGGCCAAAAGCATGAACTAAAGGAAGGAGCCTCTCAGCTTTCTAAAAAGGAGAACATTTTTATATCCAAAAGATATTCTTCTGTGCACAAAAGCAGAGGTCAGCTATAAGGAGATTTATGTGGCTTCAAGAAGGACACGCTAAAGGCAAAGTAAAATAAGGAAGAGCAGCCTCATTGTGCATGCACAGTGTGAAATGCATTTCTCTCTAATTAGAAAAGTGGAAGCAAAAAGCTTCCCCCCCCTCCCTTATTTACAGGGCTCCATTTCTAGCAGAATTTGTTGCAGGACTCACCTTAGTGATGGATGTAAACACTTTCTCTAAAATTGCATTGGGCTGGGCTCTGTGAGGTCCACTGTCTTGAATGCCAAGGTTTATGGCACATGGCTTGGCAATAAACCTGAAAGAGTTCCAAAGAAAGAGCTAGATTAAACCCAGGCATCCATTTCCCTCCTCTGCCTCAATCACAGGGACCCTGACTCGTGACCCACTGCAAAACCTACCCTAAAAGCTTTTGAAAAGCTCCACTCTGCTTACAGGAACTTCAGAGGTGAAGTACGATCTTTCATTAGTCCAAATGGTAACTGCAGACAGTACACACATCTAAAAGGAGAATTAAATCTTAATGTCCTTGGCTTGCAAAGACCAGAACGTGTTCCCCAGGGTGATTCTTGTTACTCAGAGATGTAAGAGTAGATCACTGATAGGAGTCCTCAGCAAACATAAAATGCTGGAGCCTTGCAGCACCAGGAACAAAATGCCTTATTTCTAGAACGTGCCTTGGAGTCAACACAGCTCAGAGAAAAAGGGAAGTTCCAAGTGGCACGGCTCCTGAAAGACCCAGGTTTTGGGTTGGTTTTGATTTTTGTTTTTCCTTTGGGAAAACTAAAGTGGCTGTTTCCTTTGGAAGAGTGAGGAAGACCTAAGAAGTCAGCCTGAAAGACCCAAGATCTCAGCATCTCTCTCAGTCCTGTGTGCATCATGTACTCCAAAAGCTGATCTAACACTCTCTGAATGTTATAGCAGAGACTCTGAAAACAAGCCTGGGGTTTGCAACTAAAATTGATATATACATCAAAAACCTCGTAGTATTTGCTATACCTTTGTGTCAGAAGAGGCCCAGGATTCTAAGGAATGTGCTACCTGAACACATGGATTTTCTCTCCTGTTGGTGGGCAAGGAAGGGGGGGTTGTTTTAATGATTTTGAGAGAAAGAGAGCACAAAGAACCTGTGTCACAAAGCTGACTGGAAAAGGACCCAACATTGGCGTCATTAAATCTGTTTTGCTTCTAAACAGAGATTGTTTCAGAGAACAAGACAACAAATTACACGTGTCCCATTCAGCAGACTCCGAGGGCCATCAAGCAGAAAACACTGCTTTTCCCAACCACTCCATCTGTCACCATCTCTCCTTGTGTTTAAGGAGAGAGATTAAATGATTCTGCGATTCTCAAATTCAGGAGGATCACAACTATGTGATTCCAACAGCAGTCATTCCTGGGAGTACATTCTTAGTACTTGGGTAACAAATAGCCAAGAACAGACACAGGTTGTGGGGTTTTCCCCCTTGAGAAATTACAAGCAGCTCATGACTAATCCTAAAGGAACACCCCTTGCTCTCAGAAAACACTAAACAAGTAACAGCCACTGCAGCCCCAGTGCTAACAGACACTCTCCTGCCCCATTTCTTCCTATGTCCTGTTCATTTCAACAGTCTTGCTTTAAAAAAAACACCCATCTATCTATATAAAACAAAAAGGAAAGAGTAATTTCCTTTTAGCTTGGCTCAAAAGGCTCACTGCTTCCTCTATAACCTGGACCACCAGTCAGAAATCAGGCTCTGATGTTACGAAACATTTGGCTAGACCCCATAAAAGCAGATCTCTTTATACTCTTCTTTCCTACAGGATATACCACCACAACAACGAAGTACACATGTGCTATTACAGGATACCAAGTATTTTTACTTCATTCACTGTGACACAGCTCTTCAAAAAAACCCCAAACTGGCCTGAAGATGCTCAGTTTGGGGCAGTTTCCTCACATAAAAGAGAAAACCTGAAAAATCTAAAAGTCAATCGATGTATTACTCGGGAGAGTTTGAAGAACAAGTAAAGAAGAGAAGGGATGGTTAAGAAAGCTCACAGTGATCCAGACAAAGTTTTGGCACTATCTTAGAACTCAAAACTTGAAGCATCAAGGAAAGAAGAAACAGCATCTCCTCAGGAAAAATGATGCAGGAATAATTCAGTTTGGGGATCAAAGCTGAGGGGAACCACCGAAACCTCCAAACTTGGCATTAAACTGCTCCTGAGTAGAAGGTTCCTTCACTAGCAGGTTTAAGGGAAAAAAATACATGAATCAAGAGTAAGCCACACGCTACAGATACAGCCCAGGACTCTCATTACTCAGTCAAGCATATGGGTGACCAAAGAGCAAACCAAAACCACCCCTGCAGACGTTTCTGGGTGCACAGCAGCAGCCAGACATCAACACAAGCAAAGGGAGAAGTCACAACAATGGAAGCAAAGGGAGGTAGCCCCAGTCCCAGAAACAGGAAGGAAAAAGGATGGCAGCACTGGATTTCACTACTTTTAAGGAAGTCTAGCTCAATGCCATAATGTAGCTTCTCTAACTCCACAAGCAAAGGCTTCATGCAATGCAACTGCAAATGGCACAAGGACACCTGAAAAGCCACACAAGGTGCTTCCACCAGGACTGGGCATGGCTCACACCCAGAAGTCCCCTGAACAGCCACCATCTAATTGCTTCAACCAGTTACTACCCTGCTGGTGTGATCTGAAGTGAATCCTGTTGTCAGTCAGAAAAGCATCAAGATCACATGCCAGTTCCTTTAGGTGTCCATTAAGGAAAACTCACACTTAAAACCTCTGCGGCATCTTGTATTTCTGGCTGCAGAATGGGGTTGCAGATGTGCAAGTCTGTGCTGTGTCCCACAGAGAAAAAAGTCTGCACAGCAAGAGCAGTTTAAGCACCAAAACAAAGGACTTCCATTCTTGGGGACAGTCAAACCTGAAGAGCACAAGACCAGGAGCAACCTGCCTTGACTAACACTGGCCTTGCTGCGAGGAGAGGACTGAACAAGGTGACCTCCAGAGGTCCCTTTTAATCTAAATTATTTTATGATTCCACTAAAACTGTAACTGCAGCAACTATTCCCAAGGTCAATCTACTGCCACACCTTCCCTGCAAGGAACCAGCATCACTTCAATACTCACATTACACTTCTCTGAACAGGTATCTGCTCACTGGCTTACTGTTGCTCCTACCAAGCCATCTTTTTCATGCTAGTTGTTAAGACAGACTGATTTTGAAACAAACCAACACTTTTCAAGTACTCATAACAAATGAATCTCAGGCATGTCGTACTTCACAAACCCAAGGGCAGAACCCTTCATTAGGGAACATTCAACTCCCTATTACAGCTCTGAAAAGGAAGAACAATCTGTGAAATAGTTAAGTTTTATAAAGTATGCGCTTAAAGTAAGAGTTCATCTTTCCATAATGTCAGCTTCACTGTGCTAAGATTAAACCACCTCATTCCACAACTGTCCCTCATTTTCCAAGCAGTACTAATGAAGTAACATCTAAAAATCACTTTTTTCTCCCCCCCCCCCAGCTTGAGCACACACTGCAGATCCTTCCTCAGACCTGTCAAGTAACAAGTGTATGTTACTGATGGGCATTCCAGTGTCATTCTAAACACATCAGATCGATACCAGGCTCCAGGTTTTTACAGATACCTGGGAATTATTTGAGGATTGGGGGGGGGGGGGGGGGGTTTGCCTACAGTGGAACAAGATGCACAAGGAGAAATAACAGTGAGTATAAGCCCTTCTTTATCTTGCCTGCACAAAAATCCACCCCCCTACCAGTAAGTCAGGACTTTACCTTCCTCTACAAGTCTTGCCTCATCTCTATAGTCATATACTGCCCACGCAGAGTCAGCCTAATTAATATTTTACCAACATCATGATGTAAAGTTACTTCATAGGAGCATTCACTAAGAGAAATAGGTGTCGGTGTCAAAAAAGCACCGACTTCCTCACACTGAAGACCTACAGCAAAAGGAGAGAGAAAAGAAAGAAATGAAGCTAAAACAAAAGAGCTGCACAAGTGCAGACTTCAAGTTCTGAGTCATCAAGTCCCACTGTCAAATGTGGGTCAAGGAAGACACTTGAAACAATCATGCTCAAAGCCTCAATCAGCACAGATGCACAACAGGGTTTTGTTAAGACCAATTTGAACTCGCATGTCCAGAGCGGCAGGAGGAAAGAGAGGAGCATTTCTTAGAGAGTACTGTCTTTTAAACTAAATATACTGGAAACTGCCCCAGCTGCTGCTCTCACTTCAGAGTACCCCTGTGGAGACACACCAGAGCAGACAGAGCTGAAATAAAGGAACAACCCCGGCAGGAACCAGGCCCTAGTCTCAAGGTTTTTACTGGGTAGCAGAGAACTTCATTTGTCATTTGACTCATCCCTAAATTAACACATTTCACAAAGGAGGCAGACATCATCAGGATAAATGAGCTGCTCCCAGGAGGACTGTGTTACTAGGTGCGGTAGGATGCACTGGATCTCTCCTAACAGCTCATACTCCAGAGAAAGGAGAATCTTCTGCACATCTTCCCCGGACTAAGACACCTGAATTAAGCAGAGCCTGGGAAGTGAGGAGGCCTTCCTACACTGTCCCTTTCAGGGGTATCATTCTGTCTCACAGCTTCCTTTCCTTGTCTGCTGACAAGCACGAACATTTGGCCAAGACCAGCAGTAGCACACCAAGCCGAGATGAGATTTTGGCACTGCCATGCGTGCACCTGGAGCCTCTGCATTGGTTTGAGCTGCCAATGGTTTCCTGAAGTTGCCTGGGTGGGTTTTGGAGGACAGAAAGATAAGATGGAGGGAAAAAAAACGGGCCTCTTGCATTTCTCTCCTGCTCTGCTGACCTGCTTCATTTTCCTCTCCAGTTCATGTATCCTTTTACTGCACCCCACTCCCCTCTGCTCGTTTAACTGAGAGCTCAAGAAAAGTCACACTTCTTAGAGAAAACCCACAAACCCAACCCAACTCAGTTCCTACTCACTTTAGTCCTGCAATCCTTTTCATGCTTTGAAATAGAAACATAGAATAGTTTGAGTTGGAAATGACCTTAAGATCACCCAGTTCCAACCCCCCTGCCATGGGCAGGGACACCTCACACTAAACCAGATCACCCAAGGCTCTGTTCAACCTGGTCTTGAACACCGCCAAGGATGGAGCATTCCCAACCTCCCTGGGCAACCCATTCCAGTGCCTCAGCACCCTCACAGCAAAGAATTTCCTCCTTAGATCCAATCCAAACTTCCCCTGTTTCAGTTTGAACCCATTACCCCTTGTCCTGTCACTGCAGTCCCTAATGAAGAGTCCCTCCCCAGCATCCCTACAGCCCCCCTTCAGATACTGGGGGGCTTCTCTGAGGTCTCCACACAGCTTCTCTTCTCCAGGCTGAACAGCCCGAACTTCCTCAGCCTATCTCCATACAGGAGGTACTCCAGTCCCTGCTCATCCTCGTGGCCTCCTCTGGACTTGTTCCAACAGTTCCATGTCCTTCTTATGTTGAGGACATGCTGATTCCATGTACTTCAGTGCTTTCACTGCAGAAATCAATCTTTAGTGAAGTGCTTGAACAAGCTGTCTTGGTCTGCTTCACCTAACGGCTCCCCTCAATAAGCTGCTTCACTAATTAGCATCTCTGCTACCCACAGAGTCTGCCCTGCATGCGGCTGGGAGAGATACACATCACAGGGAGGATAAACCTCTGCCCCAGGGAAGAGTTAACACCATGTTTATGGATACTCAACGAACACGATACGGAATTACACCTGTTTATGGGCAGCTATACTGACGGGCTACACCTCCATCACGCCCGAGATGCAGGGGATCCACAAACTGTTTAATAATATACTAGGCCATGGGAACAAGTCCTTATTTCCTCATCCAGGAACTCACAAGGCTACAACAAAAGCAACCCAAGCAAACCAGCGGCCGCCGCTTCTCCCACCCAGGAGAAGGCAGGCGAGTGAATTCCAGACATTTTCCTTGCGCTACCTCAGCATAAGGTACCCCTAGCAATGGGGGTGCCCCGAAGAATGCAAAGCCAAGGAAGCGAGGAGCCCGGCGTGCTCGTGGCTTATGTCGCGACAGACACAGCGAGGCTCTCGGGATAGGTCTTCCCTCGGTTACACAACATCCTCTTTGCACGCAAAAAGAGACCCCGCGTGCGGAGACCCCGCCGCGGCCTCCGCGCTGCCTGAGGGGCGAGCGGGGCCCCCCCTCGCCATCGACCCTGCCCGGGGCCGCTCCACAGCCCGTTGCTAAGAGACACCGGCGGAGCTCGGCCGCCGAGGAGGGAACGAGCGGCGCCCCGGCCGCCTCAGAGCCCCGCGGCGGAGGCGGTCCCGCGCTCACCTCTCGAAGAGCAGCCGCACAGCGAAGATGCCGAGCGCCAGCGGGAAGGCGGAGAGGACGTGGCCCGCCCGCGGGTACTGCAGCCCGCTGCCCGGCTCCCCGGCCAGGTCCGCCCACGTCACGTTGTGCGGCAACCAGAACCGCTCGTTCCAGAACCAGGCCCGCAGCGCCGCCGCCGCGGCCGCCGCCATCTTCCGCCGCCTCCCTCCCGGCGGCCGCAGCTGAGGCGGCCACCGCAGCCCACAGCGGGGCGGGGCCAAGCGCCAGCCCCGCCCCTCCCGGCGGCCAGCGCGCATGCGCGGGGGGTGGGCGTGACTTCACCCTGGCCACGCCCCCCCGCTCCGCGTCCCGCCGTGGACCGTTAGTCCCAAGCGGGCGCTGCCTCCGCGCTCGCTGAGGGGACTGGCGCTAAGGCGGCTCCGGAGCCCTAGAGAGGGGTTTCCGCGGCCGGACGCGAGTTGTTCTGACTGAAAAAAGCCCTCGAGACAGTGTTTAATGCGGCCTAAACCCCGAGGGGAGGCCCCGGCTGAGGCAGGCGCCGAGCACAGCCCCAGCGCTGTAGATAAATCACCACCCCCCCCGCACCTCCGGTTCCTCAGGCGGGCCCATATCAGCTCTGAGAGCTCCCAGTGCTGCCAGGACAGTGGGATTTGTCGTGTGAAGAGTGAATGGTAAGATAGCAAGGATTAGCTTTACTAATAGCAGCGTGGTTTAACAACATATAAGGACAACAGGTACACTGGCTGGCAAAGTTTAAATATTCCTTATAGCATTTAAAACACTCATAACAATCTGTGTTTTAGCTTGTCAGCCTTGTGATGAGGGTTATTGAGTAACAATTGGGCAAGCTTTTCAATTAGGCTCTCAAGCTCCATCAAGGTGGGCAGCATCAGCTTCCTTGTGCACTGTAGCAAATGATCCATCCTTCATATAATAGCTCTTCTGGCATCTGTCCAGTTGAGAGCAAATTAAACGGCCCATTAAGCACTCAAATACTATGATAACTAATAGATTCAGGGACAGGCTCGTTCATGATTCACTTTTCTTTAATCAAGGACTTTTATTGAAAAGTACCACTTGTGCTAATTTCTCCTGGACCACGTTCAGGCAGTGAGTGATGAGCACGGGTCCTTGTATCTCAGACTCGCAGCTGCCTCAGATTTAACCAGGACTAATGATTTACACCATTAAAGTCTCTGCTAACTGCAGCCAGTGTTGCTTTAGCATTATGCAGCTGGGGATGCATTGTAAAATTCAATTGCGTTTCCTAAGAAACAAGGAGTTTCTTAGGAACATGTCCAATAAATCCAAGCCCATAAATATTCTTCCCTTCCTTTTCAAATACACTTAGCACAATTTCCAGCCAGAAAGATCTCCAATTGCTTAGTAATCGGAGGAAATCTGATACCAAATGCATTTAGCTAGGAAGAGATAGAAGATGACAGAAAGAGCATATGCTTGCACAGCAGTTTTGCAGTACCTCCATCTGTACAAATCAAGTCTTACTTCTTCCTTAAGAAGAAAAATTAGCAGTATGTTGTACACCTTATGATGTGAAATTGATGCTATGTTCCAGCTAGATAGCAGGCTGCTTCTCCCTTCTCTCTCCCTCCTTCCCCTATATACATATGCATACACACATGCATTTTCTCATGCTGCTGCAGGGCACTTCTTGGTCTTGGTCTCTGTCTCTCCCAACCAAACCCACCTCAAGCTTAAGTGAAGATGACTACAATACAAAACAGCTTATGGGAAGGAGGTAGAAAAAGACCTCTCAGTTGTCCTCGGCTACCATGTCAGAGAACCACCTAAACCCAGAAATGGAAGTGTAAAATACCTGCACCACCTTATTTCTTTTGCCCATCCTGTTCTAATCCCTCTTCCATAGGCTGCTGCATATGAGAACACGGTCTGCCCGTTTGGCTGCGAACAGGCAAAAAGCGAACACACAGTGTCACCTAGTGGCACCACAAAAACCACTGCCTGGTCTCGAACTCCCAGTTAGAACACCCAGCTTCTCCCAGGGTCTTTTTTAAATGCCACCTCTTAGTGAATCGAGTATGAACCCAGTCTTCAGGCTTACATTTTCATGGAAATGACCAAACTTTATTGAAGATTTTGTAGTTAGCAGGACTGCTAAGAAAGCAGAATATTTTACACCTCAAGTATAGTAAAGAGCTAATTCTCATGAGAATACAGTACAAATATAAGCTAATATAAAAGGGCATCCTTCCACTGTTCAAGATTTCATTATTTGTAAAATAAATGAAGTCAAATTTAAAAATGTACTACGCTTCAATGCCAGCAATCAAAGTTGCACTGTTCAGATGGGTTTATTCCAGAGATTTTCCCAATGCAGCATAATTTCACAGCTGTAATGAAAAGATTTATGGCAGCTTGATACAAGTAGGATTTCAAAGTCGTCAAAAGGCCTTAAAATATTATCTGCAGTTTAAAATGAATGATGATGAATTGCAAGTAAAAAAAAAACAACAAAGAAAACAGAAACAAAAAAACCCACTTCAAATGCACATGAAATGCAAAAGTAGTGCCCTGTAGGCTACTGCAAAAGGGTTGACTTGTCCTCAAAGAGATCTGTCAGTCAGCACAGCTTCTGGATAAGCACTAAAATACATGCGTTCCAGCAATGGGCACACCATTCCAGTTGCACAGAGAAAAGGAGAAGAGGGAGTCTTCAATTGTTCAAAGGCAGTTTCAAGAATGAAAATCACATTGCACTCAGTTGGAGATGGTTTAGTTGATGATACTAAGCACTTAAATGTTTTAATTGTCAAAAAAACAGCCCAGTTGTGCCCTTTAACTGTATTTAAAGTGCATTAAGTTACCATTTTTAAAGCAGGCCAGAAAGTCCCTTTGAAATTGGTCCCTAAGCACTGCAGTAGCATTTGTAGTGGTAGAAGTAGTGTATTATAGAAAGCCTGTTTCACAACAGCACTGTGAGCACAGTGAAATCCCATAAATTGTTAATGAAATACGTAGTGAAGCTCAAAAGGGGTAAGACAGTAGGAGTACAGAACAGCTCTGTTCCCATGCTGTGGGCACAGATTACCTGTTGAAGCTATCCCACAGCTGGAGACTTGCTTCCATGCACCTAAATATACTCTTTGCAGGCTTCCAGAGTATTTTCCTGGATATTTGAGATACTTTGCACATAGAATTCCCTTGATGTCAATGTGCAGTACAGCATCGCTTTCCTGGAGGATAGCTCTTTGTTAAAGCTAAAACCACCCATTTGAAAAGGCCCACCCTTTCTAGTAAAGGCCAATTTATTCATCATCATCATCTTCATAGTAACGATTCCTTTTGATCTGTTCTTCCACTGACAGATCTTCCATATCTTCACCCTCCCAGAAACCGACATCTTGGGATTTGCGATTCTGGTTAGGAGAGGATTCCTTAGCAGTCATGACACTGGCTAAGCTGGAATGTTTAGGAGAATTTGGTTCAAGGAATTCTTCATTTGGAATGTCCTGCTCTTCCATACCATGTTCTTCCTCATCTGTCTCTGCATTCACCTGGCCATTTTCTACAAAGTTATGCTCTACTCTTCTGATACCAGGCGATTCCTGTTCTTCCTCTACATTTTGCTCTTCTGCACTCTGGATCTTCCTATTCTCAACCTTCTTTTCCTTTTGCTTTTTGTCTGCCACAACCTCTCTCTCCAATTCCTCACTTCTTTTCAACATGTCTCTCTCTGCCTTGGGAGGAGATGATGAATTCTCTGGTTTATGGCCTTTAACAGATACTGTTCTAAATGAGGCTGCGACTGTAAAGGGACGACTTCTCTCCTTCAGTGAGGAAGACCTTCTTAACTTCTTGAGATCCAGATCCACCTCCTCCAGCACATCTGGCTTGGAACTCTCTTCCTCTGGGGGCCATTTGGGTTTGAGTACTTTGATGCCCTCATCTAAGGCACTTCCTTGACTGCTTTGGTCAGATGGAGGCGGCCAAGCAATCCTGAGCTTTTTAGTTTCTGCTGGTCTCTCTTCTCTTTCAGGCAAAGCTGAAGCTTTTGCTTCCATACTTGCTGCCAGAACTCCTACTTTTGCAATTGGAGCATCCTCTACCCCAGGGCTTTGTGGATTTTCTGTTGCATTAACACCATGGACAGTTTTCTCCAGGGATTCTTCACATTCAGTTTTGCCTGCCCATAATTCCTTATGCTGTTTGTGTCCAAAGCCTTCATCATAGTTGCCTTTAGACTTGAAGAGCTGATTGAAGTGAGGCTTGCAGTAAATATTCCCACGCAGAGATGCGTACGTCCCAAGACTGTTCAGGAAAATACAAAGTCAAATGTTAACATTCTGAGCCTCAGCCACCCAGATGATTGTATATTTTAGTTATGTTACCAAAGAGATTCAATTTCAGTCCTCCAACATGTTTAGAAAAGACAGCCTTACCACTTTCATGAGTTTGCATGACCCTCTTTTCAAGTGTCAGGAGTACTTTACAAAGTTGGACATTTCCCCACTTAAAATTCCATTAAGAGTTTAAAAATAGACTTCATCAAGTGCAAAAGCCACTGCCAGAACCAGGAGTGTATTAACACTCCTACGCTCCTCTCCAACTCACTGGATTATGGCTGCCTTCAGCTCAGCTAAGCCTGAGCAGAACTTTCCTCAGCTGCTAGAGAAAAGCTGTACTTCCCATCCGGAGTGTGTTTACCTGAGTTTACTGTTGCAGTAGGAACAGCGGAAGCAGCTCGTGTGAAACACCTGCTGGTTGGCAAAGAGCCTTTCCATGGGGTACACGGTCTTCTGACACCCAACACATGTTTCCTTCATTGGCAACTGAAACTTCTACAGGAAGAAGAGAAAGTTAACTGGAAAATGAACCAGCTGCTGGGGACTTGGCTTCATGCACAGCTTCCAGAGCTCCCAGAAACATTGGAGCTATTCCCTTTCTGCAAATCAATGCCAATTATGGCAGAGTGGGTTCTGGTGGGCAAGGAGTAGGAAGAGGCAATGACAGGCCCTTAGGATTGCTGTGGCTTGACACTGAGCCAGGATTTCACCCCAGTGAATGCCACAGCTGAAGCATCCCAAGTTGAGCAATGGTTGAGAAGGAACAATGAAACTACCAGAACTCAGTTCTACCTCTGACTGAGCTAGTTCCCAAAAAGCTGTCTAATCGAGTTCTGCAACCTCCATTTTTCTTGACAGGAAAATGACAAAGAAACTTTGAGGGAGATACAGTCAGTACGAGACTTACCA